TTAGACTTGTATTCAATATTTGTATAGATACAACCTAAAATCCTATTTGCCCTACAACTAGCAACAGCACACTGCTTAAATCTTTGTTAGTAAAAATTGAAGAAAAAGTAAAATTTAATAACCCAGCCACATCATAATTATCAGATACTAGCCTTCTATCCCTATCCTTTTGTTTTTCCTTAATGTATTTAAAGAAATTCTTACTGTCAATTTTTACATTTTCAGCCAACTACATTCAATACAGTTATAGGAATAATAATCTATGAAACCTTAATCTTTTTTCTATACAAAAAATAATTAAATTTGATTTCAAACAAACAAAATAACTTCTTTGATTTTTACAAAAAACTTCAGACTTTACCTGTAAAAATCCTGGTGACAAATGTAAACAAATAATTGATGAAAAATTGCTCTACTCCATGCACACATAAGCTAGAGGATGGAGCACTGGCCCTGAAACCCATCTGACCTAGGTTCAAGTTGCAATTTCTGTGTAACTCATTGCTACTTGGCTGAACTTTCAACGTTTGTACTTAAAATGCAATACACAAGATAACGCTGTGATATAAAATATATGAGTGCCTAACCTGGAAACAGACCATATCCCAGAATCTTTGGAGATCATCACTAGTTTTTTTTTTACCTTTTGAAGTTCATAGTGTGACGGATTTATTATTATATATTTATTTTTATATCGATGTTTGCTTGAATTAAATTTATATTTACAAATGTATATAACTTATACTGTTAAATATGTATTGTGAAAGTCCCACCTAGTCTCTAAAGTTGTAGAAAATTCTTGAGTGTAAGAATCAACAATATATGTTTGTGTACGTAAACTCTAATGTAGCATGTTAGAATTGTTACGTAATCTGAATTTTCTAGAAACTCTCTACACATGTAAAAATATAAGCACCACACCAAATAACAGTATATATTATTAGTGTGCTATAGTTGGTACACTATAAACCTCGGAAACTATAATTATGATTAACATTTATTAATCGGGAACTTCAGATATATTGACCAGGAACTTTTATAAATTTTGAACATTACAAATCATTCAACTTCAGTGGATTCACATCGGACATTAATACTTTTACGAAAACATTACCTAACTTCAACAGTGGAAAACTCGGTGAAGAACACAGAACTCCCCATTAAGTGAATTGTACCTACGTCCACTCGAATTCAACTTGTTCATCGTGAACCCTCGATAAGCCATCAAGACTTTATATTGCTTGTAAGTTTGTGGAACTTTTATATATAAATCATTGTTTTTAGTAGCTGTTTGTTATAACTGTTATTGTAAATCGTATTATTAGTTGTATATTAAAACATATTTGTTTTAAAAAAAAAAGAAAATTGTTTGTATCAATCTTGTTGGTAAGTATCATAAACTGACCATATAACGGCTTTTACTTAACTGCTAAATCCAAAGTACAATTT